AACAACTGTTCGTATTCTACAACAACTTTTAAACTGAATTATTCATTCGTTAACTAGAAGTGGGGGAAAAAATTGCAAAACTAAGATCCACATCACATTTTATTCAACATGTTCAAGTCAAATAAAAACCAGCCAAGAACTATATTATAAAACAAAATCCATACAGACTATATTTTCTATAGACATGGTAAATATAAAATTAAGAAGATATGGATATGATTGCCAATGAGACAACTCTCCACAAGAGACCAAATGACATAGAAATTAACAACTATAGGTCACTATATGGTCTTCAACAATGAGCAAAGCCCATGCCGCATAGTCAGCTATATAAAAGGCCCTGAAATGACAAACGTAAAACTATTCAAACCAGAAAACTAACGGCCTGATTTATGTAGGTATAGATGTCTAGTAAAATTAAACAAAATCCACCAGTTTTTTTTTTTCCTTAAAGGTTTTTTACATAGTGGGATTCAATCCTTCAAAATTCATCAACTGCTTCCTTTCAGTCTACACTATAAAATAAAATGCTCCGCAGGGCGCAGCTTGATACGACCGCAGAGGTCGAACCCTGAACAGTTGGGGGAAGTATGGACACAACATTCAAGCTTGATACAGCTTTGGATTTGGATTGTGATTAAATATTTGACACAGCATAGGTTTCTAACACAGATTGAATGTGGTCTAAGAACTTAAAAATTTTAAATTGGACATTCACCTATTATGGTCCAATATCCAAAATCTAAATACATGGTTAGATTCAGCATATCAAAGAACCCCAAGAATTCAATTTTTGATGAAATCAAACAAAGTTTAATTTTGGACCCTTTTGACCTCAATGTGGACAAAGTTGATAACGGGGCCCAAAAATCAAAAATCTAAATACATGGTTAGATTCAGCATATCAAAGAACCCCATATATTCAATTTTTGTTGAAATCAAACAAAGTTTAATTTTGGACCCCGATTTGGACCAACTTGAAAACTGGGCCCATAATCAAAAATCTAAATACATGTTTAGATTCAGCATATCAAAGAACCCTAAGAATTCAATTTTTGTTAAAATCAAACTAAGTTTAATTTTGGACCCTTTGGACCTTAATGTAGACCAATTTGAAAACGGAACCAAAAATTAAGAATCTAAATACATGGTTAGATTTGGCATATCAAAGAACCCCAATAATTCAATTTTTGATGAAATCAAACAAAGTTTAATTTTGGACCCTTTTGACCTCAATGTGGACAAAGTTGATAATGGGGCCCAAAAATCAAAAATCTAAATACATGGTTAGATTCAGCATATCAAAGAACCCCATATATTCAATTTTTGTTGAAATCAAACAAAGTTTAATTTTGGACCCCGATTTGGACCAACTTGAAAACTGGGCCCATAATCAAAAATCTAAATACATGTTTAGATTCAGCATATCAAAGAACCCTAAGAATTCAATTTTTGTTAAAATCAAACTAAGTTTAATTTTGGACCCTTTGGACCTTAATGTAGACCAATTTGAAAACGGAACCAAAATTTAAGAATCTAAATACACAGTTAGATTCAGCATATCAAAGAACCCCAATAATTCAATTTTTGATGAAATCAAACAAAGTTTAATTTTGGACCCTTTGGACCTCAATGTGGACCAATTTAAAAATGGGGCCCAAAATCCAAAAACTAAATACACGGTTAGATTCAGCATATTAAAGAACCCCATGAAATCAAGAATAAAACCCCATTGAAATTGGTCAAAAAATAAGTAATTTATAGGAAGTATCTTCTTTTGCACAATCCTGTGCTATTAAATATTTCTTGCTATTGCGCAATACTGTACAATTGACAATTTCTTGCTATTGCGCAATATTGTGCTATTGGATATTTCTTGCTATTGCGCAATACTGTGCAATTGAAGATTTCTTGCTATTGCGCAATACTGTGCAATTGAAGATTTCTTGCTATTGTGCAATACTGTGCAATTGAAAATTTCTTGCTATTGCACAATACTTATTATATAATAATTTACACATCCTGTTTGGTGTGTATCTCCTACCATATCATTATTATTTGATTTTAAATATAAATCAGAAATAACCAACTTAAAATGGAAAATTTTAAAAGAAACAAAAAAGGAAAAAAAAAAAAAAGGAACAAAAAATAAATACCCCCCCCAAATTTTTTGAACCCCCATTATGATTCATCACCCCCAAACTCAATCCCAGCCTTCCCTTTGTGGTATGGTACCTTGCAGTACAATTTCAGAGAGATCCATACACTTGAACACAAGTTATTGTCTGGAAACTAGAAAAAAATGTGTTTTTTGGCCCCTTTTTGGCCCCAAATTCCTAAACGTTTAGGGCAATTACCCCCAAACTCAAACCCAGCTTTCCCTTTGTGATATGGAACCTTGTAGTACAATTTCAGAAAGATCCATAGACTTACACACAAGTTATTGTCATGAAACTAGAAAAATGCTTGTTTTTTGCCCCTTTTTTGGCCCCTAATTCCTAAAATTTGGAGGCAATTACCCCCAATATCAATCCCAGCATTCCTTTAGTGATATGGAACCTTGTGGTACAATGTCAGAGAGATCCATACACTAACACACAAGTTATGTCTGGAAGTTACAAAAATGCTTATTTTTGGCCCCTTTTTGGCCCCTAATTCCTTTACTGTTATTACCATAACCCCCAAAATCAATCCCAACCTTCCTTTTGTGGTATTGAACCTTGTGGTAAAATTTCATAAAGATCCATTCACTTAAACTAAAGTTAGAGTGCGAAAATCAAGTGTCTTCGGACGACGCCGGACGACGCCGACGACGACGACGACGCCAACGTCATACCAATATACGACCACAAAAATTTTTTTGCGGTCGTATAAAAATAAGGAGATGTGGTTATTGATTTCCAATGAAACAAACTTTCCACCACAGACCAAATGACATAGAAGGTTAGCAACTATAGATAGATATAAGAAGATGTGGTATGAGTGCCAATAAGACAACTCTCCATCCAAGTCACAATTTGTAAAAGTAAACCATTATAGGTCATAGTACAGCCTTCAACAATGAGCAAAACCCATATCACATAGAAAGCTTAAAAAGGCCCCATGATGCTTCAAAACATTTCTCTAGGCAAACACTACCATATGTAGATGTATAAAAAAGACCCAACCAAAAAGAGAAGTACTGAAAAATAACATCTACTGGAACTTCAACAATGAGTCAAATGACCTCATCCTGTAACTTAACTCATCACTTGTCAGCTTCCATCTGGAGTCTACTAAAATATAACATGTACAAAATAAACTATGGAAAGTCAGAAGTCTAAAGCTGCTAAATAGAAGAAAACACTACTTAATAAAGAAATTCTACTTCAAAATAGGTAACCAGCTACCAAGGCTTTAAAACTGTGATTTTTTTGTTTCAATCATTGCTTTTTTATATAAGTTAAAAATATAACTTATTTCATACCAGTCAACATTATGATCACCTGGTATTGAAGATTTCTTACTTCATACTTTCAATTTGAAAGACTCTCCAATGTATATTAACTTTTATTTTTTTCCATCCAACTATTTTTAAATAAAAAATTTTTTTTTAAATATTTTCAAAAAAATTTCTCTAAATTTATTTGTTAGCATATGTTCCATGTAAAACATTTGTATAATTCTGAACAAAATTTACCAGTAAAACAAAACTAATTATCTTGAATTTATATAAAAACATTTTTTTAAATTTATTCATTAAATGAAGTTACATATAAAAAAATCATTCCTAAAGCCCTGAGCTAGAAAAGCTTTGCAGATATGATTACGCTACAGGTAGAAAGAATGATATACAGGATAGGTTTGGTGTCGATACATGGTTGGTTGTGGTGAGATTCTCTCTTGTTAGGATGTACATTAACAATGTATACTGATAAAATGTTGTAACAGTACACGAGAGTAGCTATACATCTTCTGTGAGTCTTATTCCACATGGTGCTGAGAAGCAGAGAGGTGCAAAAAGATGTACAACAAATGGCTTACCTTGTAACTGGGATACGTAGGTAATGCACTATAGACTTCTTTGTCCAGAAATTAAAACTATCGCTGAATACACTATCGTACACTCTCTAAAGTTCAAGGTCAATACATACTAACCTTTTACCTCAAATCTAAGCGCAGCATAAGACGGATTGCTTTTCAACATGAATCCATACTATGACTTCTTTGCGTAGAAACTAAAACTATCGCTAATAACACACTCTCTCAAGTTCAAGGTCAATACATACTTACCTTTATCCTTTTTCCTCCAACTTTAACAAGCAAGGCCAATTGAAACCATACAAGACTCTTTGCCCACAAAATAAAACTATTACGGCATACACTATGTACACTCTCAAGTTCAAGGTCAATACATGCTAACCTTTAACCTCAAATTTGAGCAAGCATAGCTGATTTAATTCCTTTTGATTCCACTAGCAGTAGCTCACATGTTGATATTTTCTCTACTTTCCATTTGTCCACACATTTGAAGATATAACTTATATAATATCTAACTCTCACTACAAGCTGATCATACTTTTTCAAATAATTCAAATTGAGAACGTACACAACACCAAATATTCCAACCAGGGAAAAAAGATTAGCCAAGGCCATTTAAATTTAGACTGGTTACATGAATTTTAACTTAAATAGTTTATAATGATAATGTTAATCTTTCATTTAAGACGGCTTGGGCCCCTTGTCAGATAGAAATGTTAGTTAAGTTTTTGGCATTCTCAAATCTAGTTTATATCAAAACAGACATTATACTAGTCATGTATATGTTACAAATATTATTATTAATCTGTGAACTCTAAATTTCATAACCGAATAAAAAGACACAAAAAAAAAGTTCTGTGTATATATACACAATAAACACACACACACACACACTAACTAAAAAAGTAGCACACACACGATTATACCCGTCAGCCAGAATACAAGATAAGCATGTACATTCAGAAAATAGGTTACCATACCTTTTTCAGGATTTTTGCTGTAATATTATCATAATCCTAAAAGTAACAAAACAACATAATGTACTTAGAAAAAAACCTCTCCCCAATATTCTAAAAAAAGTTGACAGCTGATAATTTTAATTATTTTCTAATCATTTATTTTCTCTCAGATAAAACTCAAAAGATATATTCCAGGAAATTGATTGATTGACCGTTTCTTGCTTGATTCTTAATATCCAGTGGCAAATATTTCATGCATATTCAGGAAAAGAACAAATGTAATAACACATTCAGTGAGGTTGGTCAAAGAAGAAAATGTGTACTACCAGCCCCTAGTCCGATGCCCAAAACCAGTAAAATTTTATTCGGACTAGTAAGTATTTGCAAAACTTTGTTTAGGCATACAAGAAAAATGTGTGAATACTGGTCTTGGGACTTGTAGTTGGAAAAGATTTTTGTGCAAGCTGCTACCACTGGAAAATGAAGGTACATGTCTGTTAGATAGGGGCAAACAATTTGTCTTGCAACAGGTCACCTCCAGACCAATCACTGAGTTGTTGCATGGGTTCGTTCAGGTGCAAACAGGAAGACACCTAATGTCCCCATTCTTAGCAGACACAGCTTCATATTCATACAACCTGCATTGCCAAATAGACAACCCACTTGAGCAAGAGTTTTACAGCTAGAAGGGAGAAGTCCACTCCAGGAATCAAAGAAAATTTAGGAACAAAGCCATGTTTTGAGAAATAAATGTAACTTTCGGGCAGTGATTCAACAATATTTAACTTTTCAAATCCCTAAATGTAATCAAATATATATCCATTGATTCCAAACTCTAAAACATCAAATTTGAAAGACTTATTTCAACAGAATTGAAAAAAAAACTCCCTATGGCTACTAGAACATGTAGAACTTTATAAATGATGTAACAATGGTAACTATTTCCTCCCAAGCATGAATGAACATGCTCATCTTTCATTCATGCTAATGAACACACTCTTAAACACACTAGTAATCAAAAGTCTATACATCTAAGTCATTTAACATTTTTACTAAAATTTTGAATTTGTGATACATTCAATATACTTTGAAGTTTTGAATCTTCAAAAATAAACTTTGAAGTTTTGAATCTTTAATAATGATAATTTGAAATTTTGAATCTTTAATAATATACTTTGAAATAAGAATTTATAATTTCCAAATTGCCTTTTAATTTAAGTTAATTTGATTGAAATGTTGAAAAGCTACTTATTTCCAGGCTTATAAAATCTCTACAGACCAACAGAATCTCACTTAAAATTACCAAATATTGAGCTCTGGGCCTGTAGATTTAAACATTTATCGTGAAGACTGCATTTATTCTTTTTTTAGTACTGTTCTCTATTGCACAATAATACTGAATACTGTCAGGTAAAGACGACTCGCTCTTGGAGCTCTGGCCATTCGAATCACTGATCAGGATATGTGAAATAAACATTTTTTTTCTCATTGTCCTCAGTAACTTTTATCAATAAATGCCACAGCAAATCTCGAACCCATCGGTGCTTGTTCAAAAAAGGCAAAGCAAATATAGGGTAGGAAAGAAAATGTTAAGAATTGGTCAAGATAGCAAAAACATATTACATAACCTTTACCTCTATCTATAACAGAGTTCTCATAAAAAAGTGGTGGTCTGAGGTTTTGACCATCAAAATTTTGCAAATAACCAACAAAATTTTGGAATAGAAATAATAGTTAGGACCAACAGATTTTCTTCAAGGACCACCAGGGAAAAAAGATGTTGAGAGCTCTGGAAAAAAAATTTAAAGAGATACATATATATGTAAATGATGAATAAACAGAGCTCTAGAAAAAAAGATTTGTTTCCAGATATTTTGACTGACACTGCTTGTAAATTTTTCAGTCCAAAAAATATTTTATCAGTCCAATCTAATAATTCTTTTGAAAAATTCACTTGAAGTTTTGACAGAGATTTGGACTGATATTTTAACAGCATGTGTGTATACTTAAAATTTGTATCAGTCAAATGATCTAGACTGGCACTTAATTTTCAAGAATTAAAATATCCGTTTCCAAAACTATCCTTTAAGTTTCATGCATGTGTAGTTCTCATAATTATTGAGCAAATCCATGAATTTTGAATGCCTTATTTTATTTAAACCTCTTTCCAATAAAAGATAAAATATCTGATGCTATCTCTTTCCAATAATAACTGAAAAAACTTGTTGCATGTCATACATGTGCCTAGATATCATTAAAAAGGCACTCTGATTAATATCTGCAACGTGTCAAATGAAATATACATAAAATTCAACATGAAATCTACGTGTAATATTCCTAAAGGGCAATATAACATGTAAAGATTTTAAAAACTAAAATTGCAAAAAAAGAAATAATTCAAGGAATTCTGGACAAAGAATTGAAAGACACTATTTGTGCTGACCCAAAACTCTCAGCCAATGAAAACATTGCATTTTGAAATATACATTTTGAAATTAACAATCCATGACATATAGTGTTCATTTCCTTAGTTCAAAAGATTTTTTCAATTATCTACCCCAAAAGATTGCACCTACTCTAAAATAATTTTTTTTTTAAAATGCAGAAATATTTTACCTACACTAAATATGAAAAAAACAAAAAAATAACAAAGAATGCCAAGTTTTATAGACTTCAGTATTCACTACTCGGGACTTGGTGTCTGGTGACAACAAAAATTTTATAATAAGATCATGTCGCCATTTTAACTCCTCAATCACAAGGACAGGTTTAAAAGATTTAAAGATAATTGTTGGCACAGTTGAACAAGGTCAGATAGTATAAATACGATGACAAAATGGGATCAGCAGTTTTTTATGTATGATTAGATCTGTTCAATATCCACTGTCATACTAAAGCCTATCGAGGCCAACAGACTAATTGGGCCGACCAATTGATAATTTTTTCTCAGTTTGGACCTATCCTAGTGGAAGTTATTTGTTCCTAATCTGATAAACTTATCTATGGATTTTGATATTGAAAGTGAGACTCTAAAATCTCTTAACAATTTGATATGATTACAACTGATTAATCAGCAATCATGAGATCATTTCACATCTTATCTTACTTCCTTATACATCTGATCCTGATCTTCATACATCTAATCCTAATCTTTATCCATTTCATCTGTATTGACAAGGCCAAAATAAATAAAATATAGCTTCCCTTCCTACCCTTATTTTGAGACCTACCCTAAACATAATTCTTGGCCATTTTTCAATAAGATCTTTAAAATCACAATGTGTCCTCTATATTATTCTATACATCGAACAATTTATCAAAATAACCAAATTCCTTACCTACCTACCTATTTTTTCAAACATTTTTACACATATTACATACATGTATTTTATTAGTAGCCTTAATTTGAGTGATCTGTTAAATTTTATATTTTCAAAGGACAGACACAATTTTGGTATTTTGTTAAAGAAATATTGGAGAGGACCTGCAGATTTTCTGCAAGTACCACCAGGGAAAAACAAGATTTCGAGAAATCTGCCATGTACATGTATTCATATTCATATCAAAACTCAAGATCAATTTTTAATGGGGGAAAGTAATAATTCTTACGTGGTGATCAAACCAATGTTTCATGGCAACCTTAAAACGTTGTATTGCTGTTCAAAAAGTACATGTATCAAAAAAGGGTGTCTCATTCAAATACACAAGTACAAATCTTGTTTCCATTAATGTTAGTAAAATTTGTGATGAAGATGACCAAAAAAGAGTGAAATAGTTGACATAAAATTGGAAAATGCAAAAGTTCTAACAAATATGTCTGAATTACAGGATGTGTATAATGTAATTCTGAATTTCTGAATTGAAACTTGGGCAAAACTTAAATATATGTTTTTTGGTTTATAAGAAAATTCAAATAATTTTTTTTTTTAAATCTGACCTACGTGTAGCAACAAAAGAAACTGGCATATATACATGTATCTTTTCAGGGTCTTACTTTTATTCATTTTCTCCTCATATTTTCATAACTTCAGAAACAGATTCAAAATTTGAACACTCAAATACATTAAAAAAATATACATATATTCCTAGTTATAAAATCATTCTTTTCTATCAACTATTCACAGCAATTCCAACTTTCTCCCTCAGCAACATTGATGACCATTCAAGACGTTCTGTAAACACTAATACATGTACTTGAAGTTTTAATCACATGCATGTACAATGTACCGTTTCTCTTCAGAACACAACCTGATATTTCCTTCTCGTCTGCTACTTCTCTCACTTTTTCTGAACTTACCTTGTAAATGATACTCATATATCATCCATAACATAGATTGATCCTAAAAAGACGGCTAAAATCTCAAGAATATGCATTTATATATAGATATATACGAGTGCAGAAACTAATAAAATCTACAGAACACGTTAGGAGAATTTGACCTCTGGTTGTGAGAATTTAGACTCTGACATGAAGTAGTGTAGATCTGTCGACATCTTTACCTGACAGTATTAAAACATATCCACATCTAATGCTGCTAGGTAAGATGGCACCAGAATCCACGTCAATAATGTCACATCGAAAAAAAAATATCCCCAAGTGTCTGTAGAGTGCAAAGGTGAAGTGTAAAATCCACAATGGAAAAAAGCATAATATAAGTACAGGTTAGGTACATGTAGTTCAATGTTCCACATAATATGTAAATTATCTACAACAGCTGCAGCAGTTCCAAACTTGATTCACGTCAAATAAAAATATTGATAATATCGCAAGATGGAAAATTGAGTTCCGTTTCAAATGAAATATTACTAGAACTGAATAAGTATAAATTCCACATAATTTTATGTTATTAAACTGTTTTGTACACAGTAACTATGAAACCTGTCGAACAACCTCCTTCTCTCACCGCTGACGCATGGTAAAAATGTTTAGTAACTCATGCAGAACACTTTTTATGGAAATTTCATATCAATGTTTATCGTCATTTCAAAATTCGAAGAAAAACATATTATGCAAGTAATTAGTCCTTTTCATGAATGAAGAAGGAACAAGACAGTCC